CACCTCCCTCCATCCCTATTTGGGGCACCTCCCTCCATCCCTATTCTTCAAGTGTGTGGTGACTGTAAGCAAATTGACTATTTCAATTAACCACAATGCAATTAATTATGTTCGCTTCATAACAAAGGGAAATCCTTGGAAATCTGTTGGAAGCACAGGTGCTGAGTGCTCTTAACTTCCCTTTGGGGCATGCTAACGTCTTATTCTGCATATTTATCCGGAACCATCTGGAATTACTGTATCTATAATCTAGAGACATGTCACCATAAAACAAGTGTGCCAACATACTCCTACCTGTTGATTTTTCAATTTGACAACCTCATGATCAGTGCCGATAAGCTACGCTAAGCTACCCTAATATCACCTAGGATTACAAGAGACAAGGGATTCATGTCATAGGGATACCCAGGGGTGTGGGAATCGGGGGCTTATGGGGGGTGTTCCCCTAATATGCAGGCTGCATCTTAAAATGGACTTTAAATAGACTTTTGCCTTTACGCAATCGTGTGAGTTATTGGCGTGTGAGTGCCCTGTGATGGGTTGGTGCCCCTCCCTGGGTTGTTCCCTGTCTTGCACCCGTAGCCTCTGGGATGGGCTCCAGACCCTCTGCGACCCTAAATAGGATAAGCAGTTACAGAAAATGGATGAATGGATAATTGTTGTGTCCCCCGAATATCAGATTCTCTCCTACGCCATTGGGAACCAAACCAGGAATATAACGGCAATGTGTAAGGGAGGCAAAAAAATGTGAACTATTATTAGGCTAATTAGTAAGTCGGACTTATTCCATTATAAGTGGAAAGCAGGGAAGCTCTTAATGGAAGAGAGAAAGGATTTGATTTTACGATGTAAAGATAGTTATTAGCCTGATGGCATCATAGTGAGCGGTGTGACGTCATCTGAAGCCAATTACACTTGACTTTCTCCAAGCTATGGAAGCAGGTTCAGTGGATTTTGTTTTTACATTTGCCATTAACGAACGCAGCCTGTTAATCTAAAACTAAAAACTTTGTCATTGGCTGTCTAATGTTCTGAGCATATCCAGAGCTGCAAACTGGACAGACGGGCAGGATTGGACGGGCCACTCTAGCAGCCTGTAAGACCCAGAGACTACACAGTTACTCAACCTTCCTTTGAAGGAACATACACAGCTAAGTGTTCAAACACAGCCTTTCCAGCCATCGTCCGCGTGAACCTTCGACACCCAATGAAAACAGAGCGATAATCCCTGGGCTGTGCAGCAGACGCACATTCCCCACCCACTGCAGGTTAATGAATAATAATAATAGTAAGTACCTACAGGTCACAATTGTGTACTGTCTCTTTAAGTAAGGGAATTATGGCACTGGGCCAGGACATCCTTTAATGTCTCTGTAAATGTCAATATTTCTTGAAAAGAGTCCGGTACTGCGGTTCTGATGGCGGAAGTTAGCTTCCTGGAGCCGGTCAGATAACGGGTCGGTACTGGGGCACACAGCCGCTCCTCTTTCATCTTCCCTTGGAGAGATGGCTCTCGCTTCTTCCACACTTCCGTCTCATCTGTCAGGCCCTCAGGCCCGGCCTGCCCTCATACAAGTACTGGTGCATCAAAGGACGATGTCATTCCACACTGCGGGGGTGGGGGGGTCACCCACACCCCAGTGATCTGTGCAAGGTGACTAAGTCAACGCGATGTTGGACCTGCACCGGAAAGGTGGCAGTAACGGCTACATGGGTGTTACTTGCTCAAGGTCCATATTCATGCTGATTCACATGTGCCTCCAGGGAGGATTTGAATAGGTGTTTAGCACCAGCAGAACTTATTATGGACCTTCCCACTAAATCACTGGTGTTCTACACGAACTGTATATCCACAGAACCCTTTAACTGGAACTGGAGCTTGCTGGTACCACCTCCTCCCAGAGTCCGCTCTTCTCCTCCTTCTGCTCCTCCTCCTCCTCCTTCCATGCTTCCCAGGACTTGGCCACATGTAAGTGGGAGATAAACCTTTATCATCTCCGACGACCTTCTTGTCTCCTCTGATAAGACGTTAATGGCCACTTCTGGCCCTGGCTGGAACAGCATGGAGGTCATCAGCATCATTTATTTATTTGTTTATTTCCGAACACTCTGTGCTTCTTGGGAAAACGCTCCCGTCAGGCCGCTTACCTGGTATAGACCAGTGCTAGGCTTGCCCTAGCAGTGCATGCTAGTTTGTTTAATCCGATTGGTATTCATGGCCGCTACCCGTCCATTGACCTCTCGCTCCCTCCGTTATCATGTTGTATTCAGCTCTTTCTTTTCCCTCCCATGATGGTCGTCAAGAGCCTCTCTTCGCAAGCGAACATCTGAGAACAAACACCAAGGCCAGAGCGGAATGTTCCAGAAGACTGTCCTACACTTAACGATCTGCCAAGTGCCAGCGTCAGCGGTCTGTGGGACATATGAGACAAAGTGGATCGAGTTTTCTTCCGTTTCCCTTGCAGACGTTGGGCACTGTGGCCAAGAACGTCATATCTGGCTTTTTTTTTTTTTTACTAAGAATCAAGGATCAAGTCAGTAGGAATCAGTTAAATTGATTTATTTATCTGAAGCCGTTATCCAAAGTGGCATACAGTGGTGGAAGCAGTCTGATGGGGGATCACTGTATAACTATTCAGAAAAGTATTCATTATGAAATTCATGGACTATCCTCAGCTGACCAACAGCAAAAAACTGGAAACTTCCTATTGCCAGTTCTAATATTCACAGGTCACATACTCCATGAGCTTCCACAAGCCCAGCTTTTTGGATGCACCTCCAACATTTTCAGCACCCCATCCATATTCACCCCTGTTTCCTGGGTTCTTCTGTGGTCTCCACAGGTTCCCCCTCTCTCTGGATTTTTGGCACGTCAAACACGGAACGTTTCTTTTTGCCTGCCTTCAAGCTGACGGGGAGCTTCACCGGGAAAATGGTGGCCGAGCTTGACACCATCACACCGGGGGTGAAGTGCACGTCTGCTGTCACCCGTGTGCCCCCCTAAGAGCGCTAAACCCTTGGCCCCCGTGGCCCCCACACTGCTTGCTATGAATACAGAGCGTGTGATGCTTTTCCTGTGACACTTTTGCAGGTGCAAATCCAACACTGTGTAAAACATTTATTTAGTGCCTATCAGAAAGGCAACAACCTGTATTCCCAATTTTTATAAGCTATGCACACATGCTCATATTTATACATAAACACAGCACACATCATGCAAATGCTCTGCACGGTCAAAAAAGGCGTGTAATAAACCATGTTTCCTGCCAGATTTTACCAGCCCCTACGACACTGCATCAAACAAAAAAAAATGCATGTTCATGTAAACAGGAAGTGATTTCCAGAGTAAACAATACAGGCTGTCAAG